CCATGTGACAAGGCAGAGAGCCCACAGGGAGTCCAGGGTGTCCGTGGTCTTCTATGAGGTACAGAGTGGTGTACCCGCCCTGTAAGTGGGATCTGCAGAATAGATGGCCAGACTGGAGGCACACATTGCTTTAAGGAATCCTAAAGCAAAACAGAAGACTGGGTTCATCACACCCTGGAAAAGCACCCCCTACCCTGCACTGGGACTCCAAAAGTAGCTGTTGGTGCTGCAGTCTACAATTACTTTTAGTGAGAAGAAACTATGCTGGGGTTTGGGGTAACTCAGCCCTGGGACTGGAAATGAGCAATCAATATGCTAATTACACACAAGGAACATGCAAATGAGCTTCTAACCTTACTGAAGGAAACTTCTGTCCCCTTTCCAACAAAGACGCCTGCCCAAGAGTCTGTGGTCAGGGAACCTATGGGCTGAACGCTGGGCAGCAAGGCAAAAGAAGGCAGATAGTGTTTGAGAAAAAAAGATCCTTGAGGGATGGGGGATGGGCCAGTGGGAAAAGTGCTCTTTGCACAAGCTTGAGGAACTGGGGTCCATCCTAATACCCCATAACAAGCTGGGTGCGGAAGGATGCTCCTGTAACTCTATACTGGGAAATAAGGCAGGCAAATTGCTGGAGCTCACCGGCAAGATGGTCTGGTGGGATCTGTGAGCTCCAGGCTAGTGAGAAATTCTGTTGAAAAATATGGTGGAGAGCTGTAGTAGAAGTCTCTGGTCTCCAGGTGCACAAGCATTAGCACATGCCACCATGTACAAGCACATGTATGCATATACACGCACACATACACACACACCACCATCTCCTCCACCACCTCCACCACCACCAAAAATCATTCTTAATTCCATTTTCAGTATTTGAGCACTGAAGAAGCTGCAGTCATATACTCACACACAAACTTGCTTTCTAACTAAGTAGTCATAGGACAACCTACCAGCCCCACAATGAGCTCTGAAGGGAGGAAGGGATAACACTTGCAAAGCCCCTCTCCTTTAGGACCTCTCTGGCTTTAAGTCACACACAAGGCTGATTTTGCCTCCCCACCCCCCACTCTGCAGGAAGTTGAGGAGATGGATGCTGCAGAGACTGAATCCAGACACCCAGGAGTAAACAAAGCAGAGTGAGGCTTCAGCTAGGCTCTCCCAAGGTCAAATAACAGGACACAGTCACCCCAGCAAGTAAGAGAAAGGCCACCCACTGGAGTGAACCAACAATGTGGCTTCTGTCACATGGTCAAGAGTGTAGCAGGGAGGTTGGGGGCAGAGCAGAATCCAAAGTGCAGGAGTCATGGGGGGGGTCCCTTCTGTGTACCCACTGTTGTGTGTGTGTGTGCGCGTGTGTGTGCGTGTGCGTGCGTGTGTATGCATGCGTGCGTGCGTGTGTGTGTGTGTGTGCAGGGAAGTCAACCTCAGGTATCTCACTGACAGTATCACCTTATCTGGGGACAGGGTCTCTCACTGTCCCAGAGATCACCTCGTCATGCTGGCTGGCCAGAGAGCCCAGGATCCTCCTGCCTCTGCCTACCCAGTGCCAGGATTGCAGGATTCCCATCCAGCTGTTTTACAGGAGTTGTGGAGATCAAACTCAGGTTCTCACAGCGTAAGCAAACTTTGTGCTGATGGAGGTTTCCCCCCGGCCTTCATTTTCTAAGACAGAGTCTTGATATGGCCTTGAACTCACAGCAATCCTCCCGCTGCAACCCTAAAGTTCTGAGATTACAGGCACATGCTACCACATCTGGCTTCCTCAGTTAATGATTAAAGGGAAATATTAAATGTCATGGTCACAGGAGGTGTTGGGGGATTTGGGGAACATATCTGAGTCATGGAGTCTCAACTGAATCTTGTCTCTTGCTTTACTAACTGGGGCAAGTGCCTTGGCCCTTCCAAGCTTCACTCTCATCCAGCAAGTGGATATCATGGTAACACCGCAGGTCCACAGGCCAGTGCCTGCTATAGCCACTTAGCAGGACACCTGGTGGCATTGCTGTTGGCTGTTGACAACATTCCTCTTGAGTTTTTCACCTCACTTCAGGTTTTGCTTGGGCTCTGCTAAGCAGCCGGACCTGGCTCTGGGAAAACACTTGCTTTGAAACCTGGTCAACCAGCAACTTTCTGTCACTTAGGCCCACCAGGGGAGATGGCACTGCTCCACAGCACTACGTCCTGCCACTTCAGCCACAGTGACTTCTCCAGGGTCCCTGGCAGAGAGGCTCCTGTGTGACCAGCTGTCTACATACCTTGTAGAACACCCACGGGGCTCTCAGGAAGGGCTTCCTGAGTGGGCCTTCTCTGCCCAGGACTCCACTTGGCAAATTCACCCCCAGCCTGGGGCCGGAGGCTGTGGCAGGCAAGTCCACTTGATCTTCTCTTTAGAGACACCTGTGTGTACCCACAAACTCCCAGATGCTCAGTTCTAAGGTCAGGTTCTGACTCAGGACATGATCCTGGTGCCTGAGGGTGGGGGTGCCAGCCACAGCCAGCTCGTCTCCAGCTGGAAGTCCTGTGCCCTCCAGGTTCCTATGTGTTGATCATGGTGTGGTAGCTAGGTGTACCTTCCCTGTGCATAACTGAACACCTGAACTATTTGGACCCAGAAAACCCGGAAAGTGGCACCAGGGCCAGGCCTAGGAACAGTTAAAGTGGACACTTCAGGGTGTGAGGAGAACATTGAGTGTAACTCCAGGAAGCCCTCTGATCTCTGTTGGGACACAAGAGGCGTTAAAGCCTAAAGCCTAAATAACTTAGTCCTTTTGTAAATAGAGAGAGGCTTCTGGAATCCTGATTTCTGTGTCCGGAAAGCCAATCCAGACACAAGTGTGATCCAATCTCCAGCTTGGCAAGAACCATCTGCTTCAGAGCCCTGGACCAGGCTACCTGGTGCCCAGAAGATGCTCCACTTGCATAGAGGGCACAAGAGGGCTGCCTGGAACCACCCACAGCTACCCTTCTCTCCTGTTCTCCATGTCATTGTTCTTCTCTCCTCTTGACGTGCAGCTGTGTGCAGATATGAGCTATGCTCATGGCAGTCCAACACGGTGGACTTCATGAAGCTAGAACGGTGTATGGAAATGATTCCAGTAGGAGCTGAAGCTCAGCAATACATCTGATTATTTCTCTCCACCACGTTCTAGAAAACACACACATAGGAAGCTCCGACAGTTCCACAACGCAGTGCACAGCAAGAGGTATGAGCGTGAACGGCGTCAAAGAACACTGCAAAACCCACGACAGCCCCGCCTCGCCCCAGAGCCTGACTCCAAAACCTGATCCCACAGCTGTCTCTCAGGCTTGCACCCATGCCCTGCACCCAGAGCCTGAAACTCAATCTTGCACCCTAGCCCTGCACCAGCAGCGTGCATCTGTAGCCTACTTCCATAGCTTTTGTGCATGTACCCACAGTCTTTCCCAGAGCCTGCACTCCTAAACCTTCACCCACCTTCTGCATCTGTAAGTTGCCCCCAGAGCTAGCCTCCAGGCTCACTGCTGCTGGCATGGGGTGGGGTGGTCCAGCCTCCTCAGTCCCCTCGCTAGAGCTCAGGCTTGGGATGATGACTGGGAGCAGTCAATGGGAGGCACCCATCTGAAGATCACCGTGTGCTGGCCAGGGAGAGGGCTATTCTGTGTAGGTAGCTTAGCTGCCCCATGTCCCCGGTCACCTGGTGCCTGTCCCTTCTGGTATGCAGAACCCACCACGCAGCTTACTCTGAGCTCTTTGCTTTCTGATAAACAGAAGAACGTGGTGTCCTAGGCAACACGCCCATGTTCACACTGCCATGCTTCTACCAGCAAATGACAACCCTGCTCAGCACATCACAGACACTGAGGCTGGCAGGAGGGGGAACCCGACACTTCAGAGCTTCCAGATTACAGAGGGCCCTGAAGAACCAACTCTTCCTCCGGGGTCACCAACCTGGTGGTCTTCAACTGCAAGAGGAGTGATCCTGGCTGGGTATAGACAGGTCTTTCTATGGTCTTCCTGCCCTGGGAACCTTGGCCTTGCCTCATCCACTGGTCTGTTTACAATACTCCCATGTTTATCACACGCGCAGGACTGTGCGGATCTTTGTCCAGGATCAGCATGAGTCAGAAGAGAGTTTTCCATGAACCTGGGTGACCTTACTGACACCCAGAAATGGGCCTAATGTGGCATCACCCCAAAACGAGAACACAGGAGGAAAAGCTGGTCAAAGAAAGTCCTACATAAAACAAGTCTGGTTTGAACAATGAGCCCTGTGCTAAGCTTTTCACCCGATCTGCCAAGCTTCGTGTGGACTTCTGTGTAGTGCATCCCTCCCCACACAGCTAAGCCAGCAAGGGAGTCAGAACTCAGTCCCGGTGGCAAGAAGGTCTGTCTCCGTCCCTGCAGGAAGGGGAGCTTAGGAAAGAGAGTCCTCCTCTCCGAGCAGCCAAACTTACCTCAGGATTTCCACACACCTCTGGGACCAAGCTCATTTTTTTACCCAGCGTGAGTCATCAGATTCAAAGACCTCTCTCAACAATGTCCCTGGTTTCCCTGACTATGGTCAGCCATGGAGACAAAGGTGGTGAGAGCCACCCTGCCCAGTCCCCCAGGCAGCAGAGTGTGGGGAGCCCACCAGGCTCTGGGAACTGAGGGCACAGCGAAGAGTTGCTTGAATGAGGGGACAGTCACAGTAGGTCCTGCCAGGGGTCCCTTCTCTTCCAGATCTTTATCCCTTTGGCGCGACTGGACCAGGACCCGTCATCAGCACATTCAATGTTGCCATTCTGTGCCTTCTCTATTTTTCAAAAAATGCAAACATCGTGAATGAAATTCTGCTGCGGGCACTGTCTCCCACTTGGCTGGCTCCGCCCACCCCCGCCCCACATTCATGGGGGTCATGAACTGTGTGCCCACAGCCCACAGGTCGCTGGATCCAGCTGGGAACGGAAACATCAGTTCTGTTTTCAAAGTGTTGAATGGGCCCCACCAGCAGTGTGTCTCGCGCCGGCAGCCATAAAGCCGGGCGAAGAAATCGGTTGGCTGCGATAACGTCTGTAGTGCATTCCAGCTCAGAAATGTTAGGACCCATCCAAGCGTAGGAACTGGATTCATAAACGAGGTTACAGCTGTAAGACAGAATGCTATCGAACTGTGTGGGGTAGAAGAGGACGATGGGGACGTGTTCATGACACCGGGAACGGAAACAGATGACCACAGGCTGCTTCCTGCGGAATACCAATTGTCAGAGGAGAAAGAGCTGCCATGTTGGTGCTAGCCCGGGATTTAACTCAGAACCAGCGTTTGCAGATTTACGGCAGCTACTTTGTGGAGCACGAAGGCAGGTGAGGACCATTTTTTTCCTCTTAGTACATTTGAGTGTCTAAACTTCCCATAACAAACAAATAGTGTGTTTATAATCAAAACAAGGCATTCAAGGCATTACAAAGCTGTCAAGCTGCGTAACAAAATTGATTTTATTGCCAGCAGAAACTGACAGTGATTGCTAGCCTCACTGTTATGACAAAACACACAGAACATGAAATTTATCATTTTGACTGTTTCAAAGCATACAATTCAATGGTATTAAGTACATTCGCATATCTAACCACCACGGCCATGAAGTTCCAGAATGTTCTCATCACCATGAAAGGAAATGGCAGGTTACTAAGATAGTCAGAATTCTTCGCTCTAGCCCCCTAGTCCACAGAGATAATTAATCCGGGTTTCTGTCTCTGGATTTACCATTCCTCACACTTTACAGAACTGAGGTCATGCAGCAATGCATCTCACGATTCTTTCACTACCTGCGAACACTTTAAGGATGCTAACTAGCCATTTGTAGCATGTGCCAGGAACCCCTCCCTCTTTTTGGATAAATACATTCTATTTTACGTGCACACAGCTTGACTTACACACTCACCAGTTCGGCGTTTTGATCATCTACCGTTGGCCACAGAGAATTGAATAGTTATGGACAGGCACATGAGAATTTTTGCTTGATGACTTTTCAATTCCTTTGGATTCATCCCCTGAGGTGGATGTCCTGTGTGACATAATAAGTCTATATTTAGATAATTAAAGACTGGCCAATCTGTCTTACACAACGTCTGTTCAATTTTACACTCTAGATTTACTTTTTAAAAATTTTGCATATATGAGTGAGTGTTTTGCCTGCATGCATCTGTGCACCGCATACATGCCTGGTGCCTGAGGAAGCCTGTTGGGACCATTTGAAATCCTGGCCTCCAACTGCTCTTCCCTGGTAGAGATCTTTATTTTCCTTCTGGTCTGAGTTACTGAAAGCTGTGTCAAAGTTGTTTACCAGCTCTGCTTCACGAGCTTGTGTTGCCTTGGCCTTGAGGATCAGAGGATAAGGTTTTCACCTGCTGGCCCACTTGACTGTTGGGTATATAAGCCTCCATGGTGCTATTGAATAAAGGGCTTCTTACCAGGGACTAGAGGTCTGTGTCTCTGACTTTCTGTCTGTGCTGTCTCTGTGTCTTTGTGTGTTTCAACCTCCAGCCCCTTGCCCAAAGCTCACAAACTCTATGGTAGCGCATAGAGCACAGACAGGCGTTGTGTGCTGCAGAAGCCAGAAGGTGGAGTCAGATGTCCTGAAACTGGAGTTACAGTTGGTTGTGAAACATCCTGTGGATCCTGTGAATCAAACCTATTTCCTCTGGAAAAGCAGTCAATGCTCTTAACCACCATGCTCTCTCTCTGTCCCGTTCTGCAATCTAACCAACAATGTATTTGAGCTCCGGTCACTCGGCACACTGAAGAACACTTTCTCTAGTACAATTATTATGACTGCCATCTTAGTGGATTAAAAATGGCTTCATGCCATTGTAGTTTGGACTTATAATTACCACATTATATCAGTCCTGAGAACTTGTTCCTGTAGATTTTGTCTATTTCATATCTCTCTTGTGGAAAAATGTTTACTCAAGTCTTTTGCCCATTTTCAAGTTGGGTTGCTATCTTTCTCTTGTTGAGTCCTGAGTGCTCTTTGTATATTATGGAACTAGAGCCTCATCTGTAGGATTGCAAATGTTTCTCCAGCTTGTGGATTATCTTTTCACTATCTAGATAATGTTATTGAATGCAGAAAATACTTCAAAGATGGTGAAGTGTGGTAGGTAAGCCTTGCTTTTTTTTTGTTTGTTTTATTCAAAAGTCAATGCAGTTTCTTAAACTCTGGCTTTTGACTCCTCTGAAGTCACTTAACTGATGTGAGGTGATGAACAATTTGGCAACAGAACAAGTCGTCTGAAGCACAGTGACCCAAACTTGTAATGACTCTGAGGTGTTTCTGCACTGATGCCAGCCCAGCCTTGCTCCCTAGCCTACCCTGTGGACTCTGCAGTGCCCGTGCCATCCTACACCTGCCAACGAGCCCTGCCTGAAATGGCTACCCTCGGACCCCAGACCCTTGCTGTGGTGCGCAAGTGCGTTTACTAAACATGAAACTCTGCTCTCGGAGAAACAGAGCAGCTCAAGCGTGCAAACAGGGGCTGCTCGCTTTCCACTACTGCCCTCCGTGTACTGGCATCAAACTGGTGAGCCTTTAGAATGTTCATTTTAAAAACGACGGCTTCAAGGCCTGGAGAGATGGCTCAGCAGGTAAGAGCACCATCCGCTCCTGGGGAGGGCCAAGTTTAATTCCCAGAACCCACACGGGATGGCTCATAACTGCCTGCAACTCTGGCTCCAGGGATGTCACCCTCCTCTGCCCTCTGCATGGAGTGTACTCGTGTGTTCATATACAAGCATTCCAGCATAAATATCAACACACTTGAGAAGGAAACACTGTTTGAGTTGCTAACTTGAGTTTACCACCACCACCACCACCACCAAAAAAAAAAAAAATGGATTAAAGATTAAATGGATTTTGCTTGGGGTTAAGACAGAATTTCAAAAAAAGCTCTGAATTGGCTGAAAACATAACCTGACATCTGTATTGTGTGTTTATGTAAAGAGGTATCTTCAGCAGTGCTGCCTCTAAAATCAAAATCCTGATAAAGTCAGAAAATCGCTGAAGACACTCTATGCCCTTCGATATCAAATATTCAGTCATGTATATTTCTTTATAAATATAAATAAGCACGTCCATCTTACTGATACACAAGGTTGCACTCATCTTTACGAAGTGGTAAAATGGCATGTGACGGAATTGCTTTTAAATAAGCCCCTCTTTAGTTTACCTGTGGGTCATGCTCGGTGTGTCATGTGTAACTCCTTTATATCTCTCGATCAAACCCAGATCACCAACATGGCTAGACTTGACACCCAACCCCCTCCAGGGATCCCTCTGTCTACGCCACTAGAGGCTGGAGTTACGGGGACCACCGCACCTGCCTCAGGTGACAGCTGTGGGTTCAAGCCTGGCCCTCACTCTGCACAGCAGAGGCTTTAGCTCCTGAGCCGTCTCCCCAGCCCTGGAGGCACAGACCCCGCTGCATCTGCTCAGTCCTCACGTTTCACAGCAAAGCCACTACCCTGCCCAAAATCTTCATCTGATCTGTTTCTCTGCTTCCTTACTGTCCTGCATTAACACCTCAATAATATTAATCTCTGAACCTGGAACACATATTGGGGATCTCCTCCGTAAGCCCTCCTCACCTTCTCTCAGCAGCATCCTAGACTCCAGCTTGCGAGTCTTTTGTCTCCTGACTCAGTGAACTCCTGAGCACTTCACATTTGTTGCTGTTGGAAACACGTTCTCCCCCTTGGTTTCCTTTCTCTGCTTCATTTCTGTGGTGCAGAGACATGGCTGAGACTGCGTGCCGCTCTTAATGGCTTCATTAATTAGTGTTAATAGGCTTTGCTGGGAGACTTCTTTAAGTCTTCGGTAGATGAGATTTTACTGTCTATGGACAGAAATGGTTTCGCTTTTTCTTGTTCAATGTGTATGAAATCTTTTAAATCTTTTCTTCTGAGATTTCTCTGACAGAGCATTAAGTATAGAACAACAACAACAACAAAAAGACAAAATTAAAAACCAAAACAAGCAAACAAAACCATCAAAAGTGAGTATTTCTTATCCACCCCTCACTGTGACAAAAGCTCTCTGCCTCCATCACTGCTTGTTGGTCACATGTGTTCACACACATTGATGCTCTGTGAGAGAGCCATGTGTGTTCACACACACTGGTGCTGCATGGGAGAGCCATGTGTGTTCACACACACC